CCTCCGAGATGCGAGAGGCTCCCAGAGAGCCCCGAGTTGGCAATGCCTGGGATGGAACTTGGTATCCCTGATTCGCGTCGCTTACTCTCCTCCGACTCCCTTCTCATGACAACTCGACGTGCTGGCGGAAATAGGGAAGCACCAAGAGCTTGATGGCATATGAGTCAACAGACGTCCTCGGCGACTAATGCATGTGAGCCAATCTTGCATAGAACGCAAAACTAAATTGAACGGCATCAAGGAACGATATGGTCACGATGTCAAAATCGTCACGCTGGTCTTGCGACAGTTATTCGACGAAGTCATGGTGACTGAGTGTGCGTGAAATCGAATAACCCCTACAACAATTCAGCATACACATCTAAATTGAATCGCCCAGACATAAGGGTGCAAGGACGGCCACACTCAACCCCCTTATTGACCACAAGCTTGTCTGCTGGGTGGCCGCTTCTGACGGTGACTGGGGGAACTCGAACTTCACGTCACGCTGAGTTTGGCCTCCCAACGGGAAACATACCCTCACTCTAGGGTCCAACATTCGGCGACGAGCGCAGGGAGAAAACGAGAAATGGCAGGCCTTCTCACAAGGCTCGGAAGTCACTCGGACTTCCGAGAAATTGTGAAAGCCTTCCCCGAAGACACATAACAACTCTCAGAAGGCAAGAGGCCTTCTGAGAAGCCACGCCGCCTTTTCAGAAGGCCCTCTCCTTCTCGTTTACCCACCTCGCTCGCCGCCGAAATCTGCGATGCTCCCCGCCAGTCCTTGCCAGCTTAAAAAAACATACCCTCTCGCCGAGTCTGCGACCCACTGGGACAGAATCCCAGACAGACGCCATCGGATTTCTGGATCCAGACCCGACCGCAGCAGTACCACCTGCATCTAGGGTTAGGTCGGGCATGTCCCCCTACAGGTGGATACTAGGCGGAAAAAGAAAAATAGTCAACCAAACATAACTGAAAATTGCCAACGAATGATAAAAGATCGTCCCAATACTATGTTTGCAGGCCCGCCTTAAATTTAGGGGGCCCACCGCGGACGTACGCCTACGCTCCCCCGACCCTGTACATGCACACGGCCCCCCCCCCTCAGTCCGCAAGACCGGGCCGCGTGACACACGAACGTTCGCGCTGTGCGCACGCTCGAAAACAGCGCGGACTCATGTGCGTCAGGTTCGTGTCGTACCGACTTCGGCGTTGGCTTCGGACGCCGCGGTGATCGTTCAACCCTGAACGATCGGCCGTTTCCGAAACGCCCAAATCGTTCCACATCGAAAGATTCTGGGTCGCCCGCGGCGTTCAACGTTGAACGCCGATGGCGGGGTCGCCGCCAGTCGACACGACACACGACACGAACCTACCGTACGCGTACGTCCTCGTTTCTTGGCGGCGAGCGCGGGGGGGAAGCAAGAAGGGGCGGGCCTCCTCGGAAGGACCCGAAGCCCCCTGGCCTTCTACAAGAAGTGCTGTGAGCCTCCTCCCCGAAGACACCGAAAAAAAAGCTGGTCCGAAGGCGCGAAGGCTTCTGAGAAGCCCCGCCGCCTTCCCAGACCCCCGACGTCATGATTTGTTCATTACGTCGACCCCAGGGGTTTCGACCTATTCCCTGGGACCGGCTTCTCATCCTGAGTCATTTTTTGACGGTCCCGAGGCCCGGCGAGGTCCCCCAGAGACTGAACATGGCGAAAACCTCACGTCATGATTTTTTGTTTCATTACGTCGACCCCCAAGGGTTTCGACCTATTCCCCGGGACTGGGTTTGCATCCTGAGTCGTTTTTTGACGCTCCCGAGGCCCGGTGAAGGCCCCCAGAGGCAGAAAATCAAGACAAACGTTCCGTCATGATTTCGACAGATCGCGCGGTGACCTCGAAATCCCCCAGGACCTCACCGCACGGCCCGTCAACGCACGGCTTCGGGACCTCGGAGGCCCCTGTCGCCCGAGACGTCCTCGGAGAGGGACCCGAGCCCCAAGACCGTGCGGCGACCCCGAATCCCCACCGACTCACCACGCGGTATGGTCACCGCCCCTTTGGGGGGCCTCCCGAGGGGCCTCGCGGCAGCCCTCCGGCCTTGTCCAGAGTAGCGCCGCGCGCCCCTTCGGGGGAAGGCCCGGAACCGCTCGCTTGTATCGAAGGGCGGGGAGGACGCCCGAGCCTCCTGGGAATGCCCGCCCCCCTGGCCCCCCTCCCACCGGGCTGGCCGCCGACGGTGTATATCTATATATATGTATATATATATATATAGAGAGAGAGAGAGAGAAAGAAAAAAAAGAAAGAAAGAAAGAAAGAGAGAGAGAGAGAGAGAAAGAGAAAGAGAGAGAAAGAGCGAGAGAAGAAGCGAGAGTGAGAGAGAGAGAGACAGAGAGAGAGAGAGAGCGAGCGAGCGAGAGAAGAATATGAGAGAGAGAGAGATAGAGAGTGAAATGGCATGAACACCAGACCGCCTCCCTGCACGATCGGGGAGGCCGCGGGGCCGGGAAGGGGAGGGGCCGGGCGGACGAGGACATGCGCACGTGAAAAGGAACGGCGCAGGCACAACTCCTTACGTCGCGGCACCACCACAAAACACGGAACTCCAGAGACGAACACGAACGGATCTGGCCAGCTGGAGGCACAAAACGCCAAACTGGAAGGCCGCTCGGGAAATGCCAACCACGGAAAACGGAAAAACGAATGTGAGAAACAGTGGCAGAGCTCAGAAACAGTGGCAGAGCTCAGTGGCCAACCACTGCAAAAGGCAACATTCCCAGACCCCCGACGTCATGATTTTTTCATTGAGTCGACCCCAAAGGGTTTCGACATATTCCCTGGGACCGGTTTCTCATCCTGTGTCGTTTTTTGACGGTCCCGAGGCCCGGCGAGGTCCCCCAGAGACTGAACATGGCGAAAACCTCACGTCATGATTTGTTCATCTGAAGAAAACAAACCTGCATGCACAGAAATGTTCGGAGTCCGCGAGGATTCCTATAGGATCGGCGCTGGACCCCTCCCCCCCTGGCAGCGCCTCCTGCAGTGTGAGCTGGGGGGGAGGAGAGCCCAGCGCCGATCCCAGAAAAATCTCGGGCAGGACATCTCTGCAGACGGGAAGCATGCACGAATGTCTTCTGATTGTTGCTGACCGCCGCTGCCCACGCGCAGCATGCTCGCATAGATGCTCGCCCGGATTCTCGCTGGGATTCCCACACTGGATTCCGCATGGATGGCCCCCCCTTTTTTCACCGTACGGATTCCCGTTCAAATGGCTTGGCAGAAGGGAGAGTCGATATAACCCCCATCGCAGAATCCATGACGTAGGTTGCGTTTGTTTTCTATGGATTGCGCTGCGGAACCTATGCAGGAATCCACGCCCCAATGGAAACTACACGCACACACAATACATCCGATTCCATACTGCAGAATCGAATGCCTTGTCTCAGAAGTCCGCGCGGAGCTCTGAATATTTGTCTATGCAGCAAATCTACGATATTTGCAAGATGCTTTGCCCGACCGTGATGTCTTCACAACGTCGACCCCTTCCCAGGGGATAGTTTTAACGTCCTAAGTCGGTATTGACGATCACTGGGTCTTGTGATGGCAAAGCCGAAAATCGGCCCAAAACCTCCCGTCGTGAGTACGAGGCCTCCTAGATGGGGTCGGAGTAGATGGTATCGGAAGATCGTACCGCATCGCCGACGCATCGACGATGCAACGGCGATGCATCGGCGATGCTCTGGCGATGCATCGTCGACGCCGACCATGCATTGGCGACGTCGACGTGAAGCAAATCGAGCCGCATCAACGATGCATCGGCGATGCGGCGCGATCCTCCGGCCCCATCTACTCCGACCCCATGTATCGGGCCGGGCGAAAGGGGGGGATAGCATTGGGGGGGTTTGAGAATCAGCTCGCGTAGCTGATTTCCCCGGCGCCTACCAGCACCGGAGGCGGCTATGTATCGAGGAATGGGCCCCTCGGTGGGGCCGAAACCAGCTGCATGCAGCAGACTTCGTAAGCCCCCCTTTTCCAATCCCCCCCTTTCGTCAGGCCCGAATGTAGGAGGCCTAAAATTTCGCCTGGGGCATGCTCACAACCAGAGCTACGGCACGAACCCTGAAAGGGGGTCGTAAAGCTCGGCCACCACGCCTCTGCTGCTGCAACCGAGTCACGTTCAATCTCAAGTTGGGCACGTCCCCCCTACAGGCGGATTTTGGACGAAAAACTAGAAGCACCCGGGAAACTGCGCAAGAATAGTCGACGATGCAAAAAATGGACCCCAGACTATGTTTTGACTATTCTTGGGCAGTCCTCCTGTAGAGGGACACGCCCGACTTAAGTTCAACCCCGTGGATAGAGAGGCACCAAGGGAACAAATGGAAAGATGCTTGACTGTCCGGGGGCTGCGGTTGTTGTCACGCGAGCGCTCTCCTGTTCGGCGTTCCGACACCAGGCGGCAGGGGAGGGGGGAGGGGGGGTCTGGCTCCGCACCTCTGCTCAGCGAGACTGCTTGCAAGCCTGCGCGTTCCGCGTTCCTGGGGCAGGGACTGCACCAGCTCGAAACAGGCGCCCACAAGAACAAGTCGAGATCCACTCCGGGGGGCGGGTGCGACGGCCCCGCGTCGAGCGGCAAGACAACGAAAGTAAGAGAAGGACAACTCCTGCGGGAGAGCCCTTGGCGGTGCGGCCAGCGAGCTCGGCACAGCGCGACGAACGTCTGCGACCACTTCCACGCTGGCCGAGGGGAGCGAAGAGTGACATGAACATAAAAACTCGGAGGTCCGCGCGGATTTCTTGGATCGGCGCTGGACCCCCTCCTTGCTGCGCGGAGCGCGCCAGGGGCGGCGCCGGAGGCGCCACCAGGGGGGCCCAACACGGATCCGAGAAATCCGCGCGGATCTCAGAGTTTTTACGTTTATGTCATTATTCTTTCCCCTATGGTCGGAAGAAGTGGGTAAAACCATGAAGTAGGAAGGCGTTGGAAGTAGATTGGGTCTCCACCCACCCCCTGAAGACCAAGGAACCAGGAAAACCATTCGATCCTTGAAGCAGGAAGGCGCCTGAAGTAGATGGGGATCTGGGAATCCACGAATACCTATTCTCAACGACTGGCGTGTGTGATTTCTACGAAGGTACCCTCAGTGCGGTCAGCGGACTCGTCAGAGCGCTGCGAAAGTCGCCGACCATTTACGAACCCCTGCCCCTGCGGGCCCGATAAACGCTGCGGCATCAGACACCCCGCTGGGGTTCACTTGACTGCATACATATTTCAAATTCTGACCCCAGCAACTTCTTCAGAAATCTGTAAGGGGCCCTGGGACACACAAATAAATAGACACAAAAACTAGAATTCCCTACATTTTCTAATATGTTCTTGGTTTTGTTTTCCCCCCAGATTCCCTTATTTTCATTTCTTTTCTGGGGAATCGACGATTAATTGTGTCTGTGTATGTTTTCCCTTGCTGATTGACTGCAGACATATTCCAAATTCTGACCCCAGCAACTTCTTCAGAAATCTGGCCTGCAGGGGTAGGGTTCGAAAGTGGCTCCCTAGATAAGATTATATAAGGCTGGATCGCGCTATATCACAGCGTCTTTGGCCCACAATTGCAACGCTCTCTCTCTCTCTCTCTCTTTCTCTCTCTCTCTCTCTCTCTCTCCCTCTCTGAAACTGTATTCACGGAGCGGCAGATGAGCTGCTGCGATGAGCCAATCGAGCGAAAAGTGTAACACACAGATGTCTGTAGCAAGGGATGGTGGCTCAGTTCCATTTGGTCCTGCAGGACCAGGCTGTGCAAGCGCCAGGGAGATGGGGGCGATGATGGAGGAGGAGGCAGGGAAGCGGGAGTAGCAAGGGGCGAGGACGGGGCACCGCTCAAGCAGCCATGCAAGCGACAGCGGTTATCAACGCAGCTCCACTCCACGCCCACGACGACGTTGCTGCGCTCGCGTCATATTCGGCTCCCGCCTTCGAATACACACAACTTGTCCATGATTTTTGGAGGTCGTTAGGCGTTGCGATGTGATCCGAACTGCACAGAAACACGTCATCTGTTCCTCCATCGCAGCCCTTGTCATACACACCAAAACAATCGTCAGAACTGCAGGCAGCCTGTGCTTCAGCCACGGATGAGTAAACGCCGCCCGAACTCCACTCTGGGCAATATGTCATTCGGTGCAGAATCCAGGAGGACGCCGTCCGAACAACGATGTTCGCAAGCGTAGGAGCGCTGGTGATCACCGTTTCACTACTCCAATCAGCAGCAGCCATAGCATTGTTTGTATAGGTGACGATCTCGTCTGCAGCTCCTTCAATTAATGTGATAAAGGCCTCGCCAGCACTCTCATCAACCGTGATCGAGAACAGAGTCGTAATACTAACTGTGCTGGCGGCAGTGAGCCGGCGTGCCACGAGATTAACGATAAAACCCATAATCTCAACCTGGTAAACAGCCACATTCAGAGCACCAGCCAACCCTGCCGCTTTGGCGTCAACGTAGACGGCGGACGCCATAAGGTCGTCGGAAGTAACGCCCGACGGAAGGACTTCGTCCGCTACGTACGAGCCGGCTATCTTAATCGTGCCGGTGCCCCCGATGGTGGTCACAATGTCTTTACCTAGAAAAAGATCAAGCGCCATAAACATACCCTTTTGGTGCTCCGCGCTGATTTCTTGGATCTGTGCTGGAGCCCCCTGCTTGGCGCGCGGAGCGCGCCAGGGGCGGCGCTGGAGGCGCCGCCGGGGAAGCCCAGCACGGATCCCAAAAATCCGCGTGGAGTGCCAACAAATCATGTTCATGGCGATTATTCTTCTGCGGATACCGTCTTCCACGTCCGCGGTGCTGGTAGCCTCAGTGGGCTCCAGAAGCGGCAGGGGCAGGAGGAGGAGGAGGATGAGAAGGAGGAGGAGGAGGAGGAGGAGGAGGAGGAGGAGGAGGAGGAGGAGGAGGAGGAGGAGGAGGAGGAGGAGGAGGAGAGGGAGGAGGTGGTGCGCGCTCGAGACGCTCGTGCCCGAGCCCCCCCCCACCCTGACCCTGCCACAGGTGCGCCCGAGCGTGAGCGCCCTCCTCGCCTCCCCCCCCCTTCCAAACAAGCAAAAAACCAAAACAAAAACAACAATAAGTGGAGTGGGAGGACAAGCATGGGCAAGTGCACGAGGGAGGAGGAGAGGGACGGAAAGCGGACGAGGGACCCTCCCCTCCCCCCTTCCCCCTCCCCAAGGATAGAAATTCGCGTGTAAGGGGATGGGAGGTGGGGGGTTGCGTGCCCAAGCTCATAAACGCACTCCCGGGGCTTCCGGAACCTCCGATCTAACCCTGGGAGGCAAACAGTAACCCCCCCGGCGATATCGTTATCACAGAAAATAAAATAATTAATTATTTTGGGCGGCGCCCTCCGGCGATATCGTTAGCACATAAAAAATATAATGATATAGTTAATTAATTTGCCCCCCCCCCCCAGGCCCGAAGCTGGCGGCAACGTGAGGCGACAGCCTGAAGAACCAATGCGCAAGAACGCTTCCCAATGGGTTCCCGCCTAGAACACAGGGAAACTGACGCGCATCGGAAATCAAAGGTAAATCAAAAACGACAAACAATGAAATCACTGCAAGCAGCTATACTTGAAAGGACCCCCCAAAGGAATCCCAGAGGAATCTCAGAAGGAAGCCCACGCAGAATCTCAAAGGAACCCTATTGGAAATTCATCGCAATCTCAAAGGAACCCCACAGAAATCGCAAAGGGATCTCAGCGGCAGCTCAAACGAACCACGAAGGAATCTAAGGAATCTGGAAAACGCGGGCTCGCGTGGACATAAGCAATCCCTATGGCGACCGCACTAGGGCAATTGATTAATTCAGGGGATCCTATGGGAGAGTCCACGGAGAGATATCGCACGGATTCCGCGACCCCCCCCGCGATATGTTAGCACATGTATTGAAAATAAAATAATCCACAAGCGCCGGAGGTCGATGTCATGCTCCCTTCAGGGATTGTCGAAGGAATGTCAGAGGAACTTGAAAGGACCCCCAAAGGAATCCCAGAAGAATATCACAAATAATCCCACGCATGATATCAAAGGAACCAATGGAAGTTCAAAGCAATATCAAAGGAGCCCAACAGAAATCGCAAAGGCATCTCAGCGGCAGCTCAAACGAACCACGAAGGAATCTAAGGAATTTGGAAAACGCGGGCTCGCGTGGACATAAGCAATCCCTATGGCGACCGCACTAGGGCAATTGATTAATTCAGGGGATCCTATGGGAGAGAGAGTCCACGGAGAGATATCGCAGACGGATTCCGCGAACCCCCCCGCGATATGTTAGCACATTTATTGAAAATAAAATAATCCACCGGCCCCGGATATCGATGTGATGCTCCCTTAAGCAATGGGGCATCACAGGGATATGACCGGAACCTCAAGGGACCCCCAGAACAACATCAAAGGAACACCAGAGGAGTCTCAAAGGAGTCCCAAAATAATCACAATGGAAACGGCAAGGAATCTCAAAAGAAGCCAATCGGAGTATCAAAGGAATCTCTGGGGAATCTCACAGAAACGCACATAATCACAGGAAGCGACTCTGGGCAGGTGTGCCTTGTCGCTGGGCTCGGGGGAACAAGGGGACCGGGCATTCAGAGGCTTGTGGAAGCCTTTCTGGATGCCTCCTGGGAACCTCCGGGGACCTCCCCTCCGCGGACCTCTGGTGACCTGCGGGGGATATCGCTTCCGCCCCGGCCCCGGTGCCAGAAGCGTTATAATTTCCTCTGATGAGGGGGGGGGGAGGGGGGGTTACTGATTGCTTCCCAGGGTTACACTCCGCGCGTGGCCTCCCTGATGCCAAGATGCCTTCTGAGCTGACTCGAACTGGACCCCAAGACGCCGAAGAAAGCTCAAGAGCAACCCGGAAAGCCCTCAGAGGTAAAAGTATTCTCGATCCCCCGGGAACGCGTCTATATTTACAGTGTTCGTCTCTTCGGTCTCAGTAGCATCCAATACTGTTCAAGACGCCTGCAAGATCGCTCCAAGACGGCCCAAAAGACCCCCGAGAGGGCTCAATGACGGCTTCAAAGGGCCACGAATGGCCCAAGATGGCCAACAGGGCCCCAACAGGGTCCCAGGAAGGGCCAAGAGGGGGGGCAACTCCGACTGACATTGCGGGCCCCCCGAGACCACCAGCAGCAGCCGCCCAAGAAGGCCCGAATCGGCCCCCAAGAATGCCCCACAAAAAGGCCCACAGATTGTCACCGAGAGGTTCTTCCATGGACTCTTTTTTTGGTTCCTCTGGGGGCCGGCGGAATGGCGCAGGCCTCTTCTAGGGCTCCCAACTTCGCGCTTCGCGCTGCGCGAAGCGCGAAGCGCGAATAACTTCGCGCTCTCGCGCCGCCCCCCCAAAGGGAGAATAGGAGGACGAGGAGGAGGGGGAGGAGGAACGAGGACCGCGAAGCGCGAAGCGCGAATAACTTCGCGCCCTCGAGGGAGCCCTTGCCTCTTGCATGAAAAAGGAGGGGCAATCACAAGGCAGCTCGCCGCCTGGGCCCCGCCGCCAGCCCTCGCGGCGATCACGAATCGGGGCGCAGCCCCGCACGCAATCCAATGCCCACACTCCGTCCTCGTGCCACTCGTATTCCTCCCCGTCCTCCTCCCCGTCCTTATCGTCGTCGTCGTCCTCTTCCTCATCATCCTCGTCTTCCTCCTGCTCCAGCTCGGTTTCCTACCGGTTGCGACATAAGTTGCGCCTTCGGCGGCTGAGGAATTTTCCCCCTCCAGCAGCATGGCGCGCAGCTCGCCACGATCCGCATCCTGCTGCTCGAGCCCCCACAGGCGACCCGTTCGCCACCACTGGAGGCCCACAAACGGCGGCCTCGACTGGCGAGAGGCAGGCGCCCGCGCAAGCAACCTGGAAAAGGTGAGGTGCCGCGCGGGCCGATCACGTTCCGGGCAACGGCTTGCCCGTGCGCGGATCACGACCCCTCCTGATCTTGTCCGCCTTCCGCTCTCTCTCTTTTTCTCTCTCTCTCTCTCTGCCTGGACTGAAGCTTTCTCCGCCTTCTGGCACCTCGCCGCCAGGCCCCTGGGCTTGCCCTTGGCCTCCTTGGCGTGCAAGCTGCACCGCAAGCAGATCCTGCACCCGTGGAAGGTCCTCAGCTCGTGCCCATTGGGGTCCACCTCCTCAGGATCGCCTGAGCCTTGCGCCTCTGGCTCTGGCGGTTTCGGCGCCGCCCCCTGCTGGCCCGTCTCCTCGCCAGCGCCGCCCTGCGACGATGCTGCCGCCGCCATGGGCACCGCAGCCAGGCCAGCCAGCGCCAGCGCAGCAGTGGCTGGGCGCTTGCGGGCTCCGCTAGCGCCAGCGGCGTCGGGCGCGAACGGCTTGGCGTGGGAGTGCCCGGCGTGGAACTTCTTGATGCCCGCGCCCGTAGACGCAGACCGCAGGCACCGGCGGCAGTGAACGCCGCCGGGGATTTTGATGATGTCGCGCTGCACGATGTAGAGCTTGGGCCCCTTGCTCGGGGGCTCCACGTAGTCGCGCTCGAAGTCCCCGCGCAGCTCTGCCGCCTCCGCGCTGGCGATCGCAACCCAGTAGACCATGGCGTCCAGCGTGAGCTCCCTGGTCCTCCTGGCCTGCCTGCCGCCGACTGGCGCCCTGAGCTGGTCCGCCACGAACTTCGCGCACCTGTCCGCCTCGTGGTTACCGCGCCTCCTGCGCGCGGTGATCTTGCCAGCGTCGGCGTCCAGGAAAGCGTCGTGGCCTTCGACCTTCACGCGGTGATCCCCTGAGCTCCGAAGCCGCCGAAAGCCGCCCAGCGCGGTCCAGATCAGCCTCCAGATCTCCGCCCAGGCCGCCTGGCGAGAGCTCGTCGCAGCCCCCCCCTCGCCCCAGCAGCCCGTCGACCACGTGGAAGGCGTCGAATTCGGCGCGGATCGGCGCGACCGGGTGGCTCAGGATCAGGGTGGCCAGCAGCGTCAGCAGCTCGGCGCTCTCGGCGGTCTGCAACGGCACTGGCAGAGGTGCCCCCGAGGCCTTGACGCACGAGCGGGGCCCAGGGTCGGCCCCCTCGTCGCCAGGTGGACGCCCCGCAGCCGCGCGCGCCGACATGGCCAGCAGTAGCCGTCCGCGAATACCTCCGTGCTCATGACAGGCACGCCGTTGCCCTTGATCCACTGCTGCCCGCCCAAGAAATTGCCCAGCGGCCGTCCCCGCGCAACCTGCGGCTCAGGCAGCAGCAGGCGCTCGACCAGGGCGGAGATGGTGATGCTGGGCTGGACGTCCTTGAACTTCGCGAGCTTAGCCGGCAGGAATGCACTGGGCCAGCTACTCGTGCACTCCAGATGCCGATGCCGCAGCGTGCCCTCGACCTCAAGATGATGCTTGCAGCGCGGCGTCGGCGCGAGGCGTGGGAGGCGCTGTACCTTCGCTCGTTGAGCCGCTGCCCCTTGACCAAGGCAGGCCTGACGTAGCCGTGCTGGGCTTCCGTGAGCGAAGCGCCCTTGCCGCTGTGGGTCCAGAACCTGATCTGGTTGACGAAGGCCCCGTGAGTGATGTCCTCGCGGGTGTTCTTGGCCATATGCTGGGGCTGCCATCTCTGCATGTCGAGCTTGAGCACCTGCATAATGTACCACGGTGACATGTCGCCGACGCCGGGCCCCATCGCCTGGCCCCACCTGGCGACGTTCTCGGCGTAGCCGTTGAAGGTGGCCCTGCGCTGGCTGATCGGCAACCGCATCTCCCAAACGGCCCTCGCCAGAGTGCAGACTGGCTGGAGCGTAGCGCCATAGATGGGGTCGATCTCCTGCGGGCCTCCAATCTGAGGCAGGTAGGTGGACTTGCCCTGGGGCCGGGCCTCGGCCGC